CTTTCTTGCCAAAATTCTTTTTGTTTTGGCACAGACCTTGCGAAAGAGAAGAAAGTTCTCCATACTCAAATCTTCCGCATAAGTCTTCTCAGCTTGATTTCTAAGTCGAACGGAAGTAGAACACTCCGAATCCCACCATGGGGGAGAGGGGATACGACCACAGGAAGCGTTTTTGAGGGGTATGGAATCTTCTGCTGCTGTAATGATACAAGCGACATATTCATTGTATAAAGATAGGAAGTTATCAGGATTGGCAGGAGGGAGGAGACTAATTTTGGAGTCTAAAGTTTCAGAATACTTATCCCAGTCAGCGTCTGAGAGTCTAAAACGTTGCAAAGGTGGAATCTTAGGAGTGGGAGGTGAAAATTGTAGGAGTCTTATTAATATAGGAAAATGATCACTGCCATATGAGATATGAAGTACTGTCCAAGAGATAGTATTTATTAGAGAGGGGGAAGAAAGAGTTAAATCAGGAGCATTCAGATTTTGACCAGGAGGAGTCCTTCGAGTTGCAGACCCATCATTAAGAATGCACAAATTGTTATCATCTAACAGGTCAAGGAAGAAAGAAGAGGAAGAATCTGAATGGTTTGAGCCCCACATAGGGTGGTGACAGTTAAAGTCGCCAGAAACTATGAGGGGACCAGGAATAGAAGAGAGAATGAAGTTTAGTTCAGAAATCACGGAACTATTGGGATGAGGGATGTAGCATGATATGAATGTAATATTTTTAGCTTTAATCGCCACTATGTGCAAATTACAACTATGGGGAGGGATAAGGATCTGGGAGAAGCAGATGGATCTTGACACAAGAAGGGCACAACCTGCTTTTCCGTCATCCCTATCATCACGAAAACATGAATACCCCGACAGCCTGAAAACAGACCCCGGTTTTAACCATGTCTCCGAGATGGCGAGGACCACGGGTTTGAAGCGATTTATTAAATAAATGAGTTCTGACTTCTTATGGCGAGCACTTCTACAATTCCATTGAATTATAGTCGCCATTTTTAGAAATTAAAGTATCGAGAAATTGTTGTAGAATAGTAACGACATTGTTCGGTAGGGAGTCTGAGAACTTTGAAATCATATTTATAAGGGAGCAGATGAGAAGTTCAATTAGATTATCATTGGGGGTAAGCAAAGGGGTAGACTCTGAAGATGATAGAGCACAACCATTAGGTTGAGTAGATGGGGGAGAACTAATTATATTTCTATGAGATAGAACGTCATAGGATTTACCGAGAGGAGCTTTGGTACGAGGAGATTTGAAAATAGTTTTGGAATAAGATGCCTGAATATTAGATGGAATAGTTGAAGAAGAGGAAAGGGGGATAGGATGGGATTGTGAAATATTGGTAGGATGTAAAATGGAAGGAGGGGTGGAATTGACCACATCCGTGTAGGATCTTTTTGCAAGGGGAAATCGAAGAGCTGCTTCAGAATAGCTAATATTTTCCTGAGACATGATCATTTTAATAGACTTTTGCCTTGCATGTTCTGGGCATTTATCATCAGTAGCTCTATGATTACCACTACACAAAACACAAACTTCATTATTAGGATCATGACAGCTATCCCCATTATGTCCTAGTCCACAACGGTAACACCTGGGCTGAGATCGGCACTGTGATAAAATGTGGCCAAATCTACAACAATTCCTACATTGAATGTTGGCAATTGATAAGTAGAGACAGGAAGAGGAAAGTGGAAACAAAATACTCTCTCTGGAAGAGATTGGCCCGAAAAGGTGAGAAACTACGGTAGTTGAAGGGACCCATGTGACTTTATCATCTACTCGGATTTTAGTATTGAGACGACGAGCTCTAATAACTTCCCCACAATTGGAGGGAGTTTTAATATTCTCAATTAACTCTTCTAATGTCCAATCAGTGGGAATGCTTCTAACAACACCCATGCGGGTAATGTTAAATCTAGGGATAACTGCTTTAAAATTATTTGTAGACAGACAGTCATGAGACATGAAGTTATTAGCTGACAAATTAGTTTTAAATTCAACTGATATTCTATTTCTTCCCAATGCTTTTATACCCACCCTGCGCAATACCAGAAACTTTGATTTATGTAAAAGTTGAGCAAATTTTCAATACTCTAATAGACTGACCAGAGGATAAATCGGGAACAGATCTAGTTACATGAACGATAAAGGGACCCTTGTCCTGGTCAGTGTATAATAGTATTGAGTCAAGTTCATAACCCTTTTTAGAAAAAGTACATTGGTACGACGTAGAGGGCGGAACAGTTTTTTTCCTTTCCAGCATCTCAACGTTTTCAGCCGGGCGCTTGCGATGAACATTAGTTATTGAAGAGTTGGAATTTGAAACTGTAGATGTGGACGAGGACGAGCTAACCAACGAAATATCAGAAGGAAGACCGCCACCTCCATCCGGAGGCTTGTCTTCATCCATGTTCTTCATAAAGAAGAAAAAGGCGGGTCTAAATGCTAATAGACTTGCCAATTCACACAAAAACCTCCACCAAACTCTCACAAAACAGATAAATTCAGGATTTCAACCCAAAAAAGTAGGATTCAGATATAAGATCACTCAATTACGTGTTTACATCAACACTTTGACAAGCAGAATCAGATGGATAATTATTATACCTAATTAGTTTTTTACTTGTGACAGACGTCATAATTATAAAATACTGATTTAACAGTTTCTGAGTAACCAAATCAAATAAATGAATTACTTTGTGCTAAGTAAATTTATTTTTAACTGTTTAGTTTCCTGTTTGTAGTCGGTTTTTGTTTTTTTTTTTTTTTTTTTTGTTAAAAATTATTTTATTAAAAAAATAACATGTGGTGCCGCAATACGCAGTATCAATAAATAACGATTTGCTATAAATAACGATTGATAAAACATTACGAAAAGAGCCGTGATAGCTCAGAGTCCGGGCGCTCGCCTTTAATTCAATATACCTACTCGAGCAACACGAGTTCAATCCCCGGTGCCGCCACCAATGAAATTGTTAATTTTAAGTGCCGAATTATCACGTGCTTAGCAATGAAGGAAACCATCGTGAGGAAACCCGCATACTTTCGAAATAATAACAAAAAAATATTTCGAAGATATGTGAAGTCCGCCAATCCGCAGTGGGGCCGCGTGGTGGACTATGCCCTAATACCCTTTGTACAGGGCGCCTTTGCCCAGCAGTGGGACATATACAGCGAATCGTTACAATCGCGACAATAAATGAAACACGTCTAACGCTACTTGCCAATAATCATAAAAAATATTAACGTTAAAAAAATCCATAATTAAAAAAAATATTTTTCAAACAAACTAATTAATTAAAAAACAAACAAAATTTGTAACATGTAAATGAAACAAAAAAATTCTTCTTATATTTATTATACCAATATACACCTAAATCTACTTACGGACATAAAGAAATAATCAAATCAAATAATAAACTTAAAAGGAAAAAAATAATTCGCATATAATATAGTCATACAAAGAGGGTTGATAATTTTATATTTATGATGTGATTAATAATTCTTCAAAACTGTTCTATAGGATAAATAATTTCACATATTGTTTTTATTTTCTAATCATATTATTATGTTAATAAAACATTTAAACAATCAAAACGTTTAGAACAAATTACTATTATAATTATGTATTATACTATATGTTTAAGTTAAGATTCAATATTATTATAAAAATAATAATACAAATTAAAAAAGGTTTTGGTTATGAAATATTTCATATGTTCCCTATAATGCTTTTGGGTGGTTGTTTTGAATTGCATATAAATCATTGTCTATTCTTCTTTATATAATTCTATGTTCAGAAATTTAATCATGTTTAAAATGTTAAATGCCACAAGCCAATATTCTAAACTCGAACACACAAAAATCAAATCAGCATACTATTTAGAAATGTAAAACATTGTATGGAATGAATAAATATATACATAAGCATATTTCAGTCAATAGTTTACATTGATAATAATATTAAAAGCTTTTCCCGCCATACAAATGGCTAATAAACAAATCACTCATATACTTTTAATTAACTCCAATGGTATATATTTCTTAACATTGTTAAGATGAGTGTCAAAGAAAAGGATGGACAGTCACAGGTATTTATTATAAACGACATCAACGAGGCCAAGGTTTCAAAGTGCATAATACGTGATTCAATTGCTATGCAGATATGTCTAGATTGTATCTACAACCCGTATATAAGCCTGTCCCCGCCTTTTAATATCGCCCACCATAAAATTATTTACTCTAGGTAATCCTTGATGTTACAAAAGGGTTAAATAATTAGTAATGTTATAATAAAGCAGTAATATAAAGAAATATTAAGAGAATTATTAGAATAAATAGAGACACACCAAATAGACATAAAATTAAGAGAACACATGGATGTCTGTCACTAAGACATTATGTTAAATACAACCAATTTATTGTAACAGAACCCCATAAACAGAGCGGGGGAGCCTGGGAACTGGCGGATTTATATTGTGACGTAAGTTGAGTCACTGTGCTTAGCAGCATTGTGCATAAACTGTTATACTGATACTAGCAAATGCATTAAAACAGGCTTGTCACTAGTTAACTATCCATTTTATATAGTATAACATTTGTAATCAATGTTTAACTCCAAAATCAATGTTTTCAATTCACAATACAATGATTTTAGTATAACACTATTCATAGGTACAAATGACTTAAATTTCATAAATAAGAATTAAATTACTATAAATGACAAATGACATGGTATAAAATTGTTTTAATTATTTAGAATTATTACTTGGAACATCTCAAAGGCTCTATAAGATAATATGTTAATGCAAGAGCCACAAAATTGCTGCTGTAATATTCAATATTTTTAGTTATGGCATAATATTAAATAACTGTTATGATTAGATTATAAAAATAAGTTGAATATTACAGTGTTAGCCTATAAATGTTATGATGAGTGTGCTAGGTGTTAGTGCACAGTACATTTTCTTTGTGATGTTTAAAGAATTCTGCATCCCTTTTTCTTTGGTGGTTCTGGTGGTTCCAGGGCAGCGAGAATGGCTTCATCAAAAACATTCTTCAACCCTTTCTGAAAATTTCAAAGGCAAAGTAAAACAATTTACTATGGTAGTGCCACGCAAAAGTCTTCTCTGTTACACAAATATGCAGGTCAGTCTGGGTGAGTACCATGATCTTCTCAGAAAGAGTTTAATATGGGGAGGTATTTAAAGTTGTTTTTCTTCCTTTTCCTTATTAATTCCTTCAGTAATTTTTCAGTAAAGAAGTTGAATATCTCAACTTGTATGAATATTAACAATTTAAGTAAAAATAGTGCTCTGGTGCCCTTTAGTTTTAAACTCAGGGTCAATAGGATTGATTTTATTTATTGAGATGCGTCAGAAGAAAAACCGATATTTCACATATTAAATTTTTTAGGGAAATTAAATAATAATACATGAAACTATGGATTTCCAATTTAGAGATGAACTTGGTAACACTGTTTTGATATCCAAATCACGGATTTATGTGTGCAGTATGTGATGAGAAATTAAAAAAAAGGATTTAACAGTTTTTCATCAGACTGACAAATATGTCCTTGTGCAATATTATATTTTTTTTGGCTGTATTTATTTTAAATCTGTCATTTCTTGTAGTTTTTTTAAATGTTTCTACGTGTTTGACATTGTTTAAACTACAATCTTGACCCAGTAATAAAACTTCCTCCTGTCTTATAAATCTTTGGATATGAATTTTTCGTTTTTCAACCAACCAAATGCATGGCCCATGAAAATTTCTAAGGATTTGTTGGTGTATGTATCAAGAAAGTTTTTAAAGACAATTTAGTTGTTTATAAATTGATACAAGATTAAAATAAATTGATAGATTACATTTGATACAAGATGGCTATACATATGTATGTAAACTGCCAAATTTAACATAAAAACTGTTAAAATGTTATTTATCAGTTTTTGTTCCAACGCTCCTTAATTAGCAACGACCTATCAGACAGATTAAAATTGAATATAGACTACAACATTTTCTGGAGCATTTCTGTGTGATGTAACGTTCTTACGAATGGTACAATACACGCAAAAGCTCAGTTTCCAAAGCATTTCCATGTAATGTAACGTTCGTGCGAATGCTAGGCGTTATGTTACGGGTAAATGCTCACAGCGAGTGTGCATTTACCAACATTTCGTTGTACATTGCGTTCATTCTTTTTTGAAATGTCGGACCTACAAGGTGCGTGCTACGTTTATCTTGATGAATTATATTAGAAGAAAAAAGAAAAATTGATATCGCATCCGCGCATCGCCCGCACTCATGGCTCGACGAAATGTTACACCAATATGCTCGACGAAATCTTACACCAATATGCAATATGGTTTGTAACAAAGAGGCGAGCGTGCACGACGTTTAGTTCGTGAAAGGATGATACACTAGAACATATCATAGAGCAGCTCATTGTTCTGTTACAAGTAAATGTTGTAGTCTATACTCACCTTAAGAGAAAATTAGGGTAATAGAAATTATCAAACCTGAGTAAGAGCAGAGCATTCAACATATTTGACAGCCTTTAGCTCTTTAGCAAGTTTCTCTCCTTGTTCAAGAGAGACTGGCTTCTGCTTTATTTTTGCAAGCTTTTCCATAGTAGCAGGATCATCTCGCAGGTCAATTTGTGTCCCAACCAACAAGAAAGGCGTCTTCTGCTGATGATGAGTTATTTCTGGTACCCACTGTAAAAAGAGATACTTTAAACCCACTGTAAAAAGAGATACTTTAGTTTTATTGGTCAGAGAGTATTATTATATAATATTTTTAGCACAATATATATATATATATATATATATATATTAACTAGCTGCTGCCCGCGACTACGCCTGCGTAGAGGGGTGAAAATTTAGGGTTGTATGTATTTTTGTACGCTGTATCACAAAAAAATAAAAACAAAAAATTTTGTCCAAAAATTAAAAAAAATGTTAATTGTGAACAACCCTTATCCCTTAGGGGTATGAAAAATAGATAGTAGCCGATTCTCAGACCTACTGAATATGCATATAAAATTTGGTAAAAATCGGTCGAGCCATTTCGAGGAGTTCAAGTTCGAACCCCGTGACATGAGAATTTTATATATTAGAAAGATATATATATATATATTATATAATAAAAATATATATATTAAAAATGTTTACCATTAAATAGAAACATAATAGACTTCTAGTAAGAATTTAAACTTCATGAGAGAAAATGGAAACTATGATGTAACTATAAACACTAGCACTCATTGTATAAATTTTCAATTCTTTGGCAACAATCAATGAATGCTATTATTTTACTTTAAATCTATATCACATATTCATAAACATACATAAACTTTAACTTTGTACTTTTATGGAGATAAAATGCAGAACACCAGTGCAGTTTTAACTATACCAAAATTCAACTCCATGCATGGAGTTTTCTGTATCTGGTCAATGCGCTTATTAATCAAGTCTTAATTAGCCATAAAATATGCATCAGATTCAATAAAATTGATTTGATAACATAATTTTGTCATTCAGAACTTTACAACAATCTAAAATATTCTTCAAAGCTTTTCCTTACCTTTTCCTTCACATTTTCAAAAGAACTTGGGCTCACCACACTGAAGCACACAAGGAACACATCTGTTTGAGGATAGCTCAGAGGTCTCAGTCTGTCATAATCTTCCTGACCTAAATGAAATAATAATTATATTACATGGTTGAACATTCTTACTGTCTCGAAATTTTGATGTTGTTACTCATGTAATCATTCATCAGGTGTACAGAGAGCTTTAATCTTTCGAAGATCAGTATAATTATATATAGGAATACTTCTTTACCTGCAGTATCAAAGAGACCTAAAGTATATGGCTCGCCTCCAATCATAACGGTGACAGCATAATTATCAAAGACAGTAGGCACATATTCAGATGGAAACTTGTTGGTTGTATAGCTTATAAGAAGACACGTTTTACCAACGGCACCGTCACCGACCACAACACATTTAATAGTTTGCATAGTTATGTTTGGTTTCAATTGTTACCAAAACCAAGTTGCTTCTGTAGATGGCTTTTTTTTTAAATTTTTGATGATCCTCGGTTCATAGCACCCTTGACACGGGCCTAAAACAAAAATAAAATTTGTTAACTACTGCATTGAAATCAAAATGTAAAACTAGTTTTTCAAAATTTCTCAATAGAATTAAAACTTCATTTAGGTGTATTTAAGTTCTGCAAGCCTATTCATAACATGATCTCAATGTGTTTGATGTTTGTTTACTAAACCTGTGGTGGAAAAAAGAAAACAATAATATACATGTGTTTCAACTCTTAGATAAATAAACATAATTTAGAATAAGCATTATAGAAGCATTAAACTCACTAAGCAATATTTTCCATAAATAATAATAAAAGTCCCAGAAAATATAAGAGGATGGAAATTTTTTTGTGCACTAAATCAATGTAAATTGTAGGATTTTTTTTATGGGATAAGGAGGCAAAATGAACTATTAGCCTATGCTAAATATATATTAGGTTGGAGAAAAACTTTTTTCACAAATAGTATGTATGTACTTATAATATAATCTCTTTGGCTATACCATTTTTATCTGGCTGGTTTTGGTATCATTAAGAAGTTTAAATTTTAAAAAAGATAATTTCAAATTCAAATTAGGAAAATGTGTGATTTTCATTTCTTTTTCTTACTGTTAAGATGAGTGATTATAATGAAGAAATTCGATACATTTTAAAATTTTACTCAGGTAAAAATGCAATGCAAGCCACTGAATGATATTTATGGGCATAGTGCAGTGTCTGTGAGAGTAGCACAAATTTGGTTTAAGCGTTTAAATTGGGAAATTTTGATGTCAAAGATGCACCTCCCTCTGTGTGCCCTGTTACAGATAAAATGGATGCCATTTTTGAAAAAGTGAGATAAGATCGGCATATCAGTAGTTACGGTGTAGCTGAAAAACTGGGAATTGACCACAAAACAATTTTGACGCATTTGAAACAAGCTGGGTACACAAAAAAGCTCCATATTTGGGTGCCTCATGAACTCACTGAAAGAAACCTAATGAACCGTATACTCATTTGTGTTTCTTTATTACGACCTAATGAAAACGAACCATTTTTGAAAAACCTGATAACTGGTGATGAAAAGTAGATCACGTATGACAAGAACGTGCGAAAAAGGTTGTGGTCAGGCTTCACAGACTCTGGGAAAACCCGGGTTATCCACAACAAGGTAATGCTGTGTATGGTGGGATTGCAAGGGCATTATTCATTATGAGCTGTTACCGCCAGGCAGGACCATTGATTCTGAACTCTACTGCGAACAACTGATGAGATTATAGCAAGTTGAGAGTAAGCTGCCGAAATTAATCAACATAAGGGGTGTGGTTTTTCATCAAGATAACGCTAGACCTCGCACATCTTTAGTCACTCAGCAGAGTTTGACTGGGGGGTGTTAATGCATCCACCGTATAGTCCTGACCTTGCACCTTCAGATTTCTATTTGTTTTGGTCTCTTCAAAATTCTTTAGACAGTGTCAGGTTAACATCACAAGAGGACTGCCAAAGCCACTTGCCGCGGTTTTTTGATCAGAAGCCCCAGAATTTCTATAGCAATGGGATCATGTCCCAACCTACAAGATGGCAGAAAGTTATCAAACAAAATGGCACCTACAAACATTATTTACATGTAAATAAACTTTATTAAAAAATGTTTTGAATTTTCATATAAAATTTCATTAAAACATTTTCCCCAACCTATTATATTATAATCTATATATCTGCTTATCAGTAAATAAAATTGTAGGTATGTTAATCTTAAATAAGTTGCAAATTAAATTCCACCAGTATCAAAATATGATCACTTTCTTAGACCTCATTTAAGTACTTGAAATATAAAGACTTAAAATACAAAACAATATAAATAATATAAAATGCAGCACCAAATATAGACAAAAAAATTATTTGTTTAAAGATTTATAAATGCTAACAAAGATGTATAGAATTACTATATTACCCTCTATAAATTGTAAAAAGAATAAAGTAGATTAAAATCCTGATTTGTAATTTTTTTTAGTATTATACAATTGCAATAATAACAAAACATACACGTAGTTTTGTGCACATGGCATATATTGTCATTTCATAATATTATATGTGTAGAATTATTTTCAGATTGCAAATAGTATATATTATAATGAATAAAATAAATATATTTATATTATAAGACCACTGTCCATTGTCTCAATTTTATTCCGACATTTTTCTTTTGCACTTATAAAACATAAAATGTGCAAATAAATACGAGTCACCAATCGCAAAAGCAAAGCAAAGCATTAACAATAAATTAATAAGGCAAGTAACAAAAATATCCAACTTATATGGAATAGATTAAAAAAAATTATTGAGATATTTAGACAATAAAAGAACTCAAAATGCTTTCAACTAATAATTTATCTTAATGATACATGTTTTGTACATATTTAATATATTTTACATTTTAATATATTTAATATAACATTGCCCTCACTTTAGAATAACATTATCTTGTTTTTTAAAGATGTTTTACAACCAAAAATTTCATGTGGACATACACCCAGGTGCGAAACAACTATCTGTGGGTCACACAAATAGTTGCCCCGTGTGGAAATCAAACCCTCGACCCATGATGAATCCAATACCTTAACAACTGTGCTAAGGAGTCATCGTTTAAATTATAGTATTATAGTGATTATTAAATAATTAAATCATTCAAATGCTTCTTATGTATATGAAATAAAAACATTTAATTAGATTACATAACATAATCAGCACAGCAACTTTTATAATGTAATTAAAATTTACAAATTTAACAACAAATCTTTGTGTGAATCAAAACACACAAATTGATTATTAACTATATGATGTTACTAATAATATTAACAATGTTATTTTTAATATTATTCCTTTTAAACGGAGATAAACAAAACGCGTAAAATTTTAAGTCGAGACCAAACTAATGATGTTCGCAATCGGCAAAGCAACTTATTATCATAAATATTTTGCCAATAATATAAGGCCAATGACCCTTATTCAGTCCATGTAAATAAAGGTATAACGGAATATAATAATACGCTAATACAATCCATAGTATACCAGATAGAGAATCTACAAAATTGATCAGAATTATAGACAGATTGGCTAGTCATCACCATGCCTCCTTGTCGGGTGCCATGATAAGTGTGCAATGCTGCATTCCTTCGAAAATACAAAAGTAAACACAGCTACAATATACTCGAATTAGTAAAAAAATTGAACAATATTCATTTATAAGATATATCAACAAATTATGAAACAATTTTAAATTAAAATAAATGCATTTTCGAAATAAAGACTTTTTTACATAATCACGTCACAATATAATCTGACGTCCATTTTGTAGAGCCGAAATACCATGTATGTTGAGCGGACAAAATGATGGAGATTAATGTATGAGTAATCTTTTGCTTACCTTGTAAGAAAATATGTCTTTAACACGAAATAAAAATTACAGCCCAACTCTTTAAATACAGCTACGAATTATTAACTGTTAGCAAAGGGCTGGGTCCTTGACGATGACGCCATTGATTGAATTTGAAGCACAGATGATCAAAATTAAATCCACACTATACAAGCAGTATACAGAACACAGATAATCATTAACAAATTATAATTTTAATTCTGTAAAGAAACACAATACAAATTAAAGCAACACAGAATAGCGTCTATATAATCTTTACATACTTTATTAGGGTATTATTCAAAAATATTTAAAATGATAGTTTAAAAAATACTAAAAAACGCTATTGTAGCTATCTAAACTAATAAAAAGTCGAAAATAATTTACAATTAATTAAAATTATGAATAGTGTGATTAACAAAAAAATTGTAAAAATAAATATACTAAATATTATACAGCATCCTGATAAAAGTACAGTCATAATGGAAATATCTTTAAAAGCAATATATATAAATAGATGATTAGATTCGAGACGCGATCTTATGAATCGTTAAATTTAACATAAAAAAATTGTATATAGGTTCGTAAGGTGCCATCGGTTCAGAAAGCAGTTTCTGCTGAGAAGAGACCGGCAAGAAACTCAACAGTTGGTCTTTTTCAAAAATATCAGCTTACAATATAATATACATGTATAATAGTCTTGTGGCGACTCATTTGCTACTGTGTAGCACCGCTCTTATCTTTTACACCCTTACTCTCATCGGTCTAGCATTACCCTATTATTGACAAATTTCTATAGCAACGAGTGACAATAAAGGATGATGCTTTTCTCAACACGGCTTGTTCTTTGTACTGCATCTTAATTATTCCCTCCTGCCGGCTCCCAAAGTCTTATTCCAGCCTACGAGAGTATCAACAGTATTAACTCTACACATTGGCGTCGTCGGGATATTCCGCAATGGTTTAATATGCTTTAACCATAAGTTGACCTTTAATTTTATGTTTAAATTAATCAAGCGGCAGACTTAATATCGACTATGGGGTTTTGACCTATTTACTTTTTGTAGATGAAACAATGGGGTAGTAAGTTTGTCCTTATTTCTAGTGTTTCTTTTGTATGTCACTATTTTTTAGGTAATAATTAATAGTACCTGGGGGACTTGCTCGGTTAGTTTTTTTTTTTGGTCAATCGTGTATTTTGGAAATTACATTTAGATACAAATGACTGAGTAATGAAATATGCATAATATATAAATGAGCCGTCACGGGACGCAGATGGGAAACATCAACATTATTTTGTAAAAGTAATATGCAGAAAAGAACAGATTGTGATAGGAACTAAATATGTCATAATGATAAAATAAAATATTACGATTTTTTTTCCAGAAAACGATGACTATTTATTGAATAAACATTGATTTTCATTAAATACAAAAATTTACGAATTTACAAATTGACTAATTAATTCGTTTAATCAGTGACTTCGGTAATAGTACACATAATTAATTAAAGTTAATTTAATGAATTAATAAATAATTATTAACAATTAATTTAAATTTGAGTAATTAATTGTACACACTACTGCATATAAACTGTATATATACCATCATATTATAGAGTGGCCAGAAATCGGTTTTACGTGCGGCTATAGATGTTTTACATCAAAATAACGTGACATGCAATATAAACACCAATTTATATAAATATTTAACTTGTCATATTATTGAATCAACCTCAATTCAAACAAGCTTTTCGCCACTGCGAGGATTTGAACTTGCGGCCAGTGGGACACGTACCTGAAGCCTTAGCCACTATGCTAAACGGATTATTTTCACACCGACAAAGATTTCAACGTATTTTGTTTACTTATGTTTTTTATTGCTTCTAACGACCAGTTTTATGACATTTTACAATAAAACATATAAAAACCAGATGTCACCTTTGCTTTTTTTTTCCCTATATACAAAAGTACTCTGTGCCTTTGCCTTTCTTAATTTTTCGTGCAATTCTCTGTAGGTACTTAAAATGAAATATTTTTGTAGAAAAAATGGACGCAAGGTTTTTTGACGATGCGAGGATATGAACCTGCGTCCTGTTTCACGGTTGTAGAAACCGAACTTTTAGATGTAGCAACTGTTTACTTTTATTTGAAATATTATTCAGTTGCTGATTTTTTTGCTTTTATGTTAAATTGATTGCTATATGATTTAAGTTCTATGTAGAATCGATCTATGTAGAAAATAGAGCAACCTTTTTAATCAATGGGCCAATTTATATTTCAAATTTTTTGGCGTGCCGCACATAATAATTTACTTTTTTATAAACAAATAAACTTTATTTATAATAAATATTATAATAAAAAAGTAAAGATTTCATATACAAATTTTAATGCAAGGTAAAAACAAGAAAAGAACAGAAAAACGAACAAAAAATATTTCGGTTCAGTATGTACCATTTTATAACAATATATTGATGGGAGAAATTTGATAAAATAAATTCAATTTTATAAATGCTTGGCGGGCCGCATAAACATGTTTAAGGGGCCGCAAGCGGCCCGCGGGCCGCACGTTGCTCATCCTTGGTTTAGTGTGTGGTATAAATAAATAAAAAACAACTAAATATATAGTTTGGCATTATTTATTATCAATAATGTTTGTTGATTAAGATACACATAACGATTTATTAGAATTAATAGGTATAGTGACCGGCAAACAATATGAGTTTTTTTTTGTTTTGCCCCAACAATGCTAAGGAAGTAGGATAAGTTTGCACTCTGTCTGTGCAATCAATAGCGTTGGGTTGCGAGGTTTTACCTGCCACCCGTAGTCATTGCCGGCATGATGTTTGCTGGTCATCATACTAATCTTTTATCTGTTTTAGAATAAAATCTATCTAAAATATTAAGCTTAAGTTTTAAAAGAGTTTATTATTTATTAGTATTAGTCATATAGCTGTAAAATATATTTAGGAGGCTAGTGGCTAGGCATGATCATTATTTCATTTGGCATATCTTATTCCTGATAATTTCAACAATTTTGCTTCGAATTTGTGTATGTATCGAAAATTAAGTAATGTAATTTTGGTTGTTTTAAACAAAATTTATACTGAATAAAATCAGATACCTCTACAATCCAAATTTATTTGCAAAAGGCTTATCAATCTCACTTTTTGATATAGATAAAATCATTCGACAATGCACTGCTTTTCAAAATGAATCAATAATATGCGCCAAATGTCAAACTTATTCTTTGAAATTTCAACCTAAAAATTGTATGAGTTATTTTAGAAACAAAGTTGTAGTTGACTAATAAAATTGATACTGATTTAGTTCTACTCTATTTCATTGATTTGCCTAAATGTAATGAAGAGTTTTTGTTTTGCAAACCGTCATTTATCTATCCTCTAAACAACTCATGTTACAACTTAAACTGCTGTATAAATATAAAATAAATCTCAAGTTTTCACCATGAGTTAGTAATATTTCACTAGTCCATGGTTTTCATCCAGTAATAACACATTATTGTCATTTATATTGAATTTAACACATTCATTTTAAAAATATTGGACAGCAACATATTATACGAGTAAATAACAGGTTTCCACCACTAATATCGACATTGAAGTATACCTCTTATACATACACGTCTCACGCATTCATTTATATCTCTTAAGCCGATCGCATGCTATTACGCGGCACGTCGTCGTCCATGTAGGCTCCGTTTATATCAAGTAATAAAAATAAAATAATAGTGTAAGAAACACTCATTTTAAAATCATTACTCTGGTATCCAAACATTAACAGGAGCTTAGGCGTCATCAGAAAATAATTGGACAATTTTGTCGAATGATGGGGCCACTCATTTAATTGCTTTTTGTAATTATTTTCAAGTCTTAATTAGGAACTAAATATTTTAAAGTTTCCTGCACCTTCTTCACTACGAATGTGAAGACCATTGCATTGCCCAAACTAGCGTGATATGCAATATAAATTTGGATGCAATCGAATTGTATACCATGAAAAATTAAGTATGTAACGAAAGACAACAGTCGTACATATTAACTAAAATATAACTTTTTTTTCAAAAGAAATAATGTATAGCTTATTACTGTTTTCTTTTTGCAGCATTTATGAACTCTGTACTATTTTACAACACATTCACAATCAATCTGCTTCATCTATCAACTACAGCAGCGTTTTTCCTGTCATTCATACATAAGAAATACTTAATATAACATTATAACTATGTTTTTTCATTTCTATTAAATAATGTAAGTAGACATCTTGTACCTTTTTATTAAAATGAATAAACTGGCAAAATATTAAAAAAATTGAAAAATTTTCATTGATCAGGCATCCTTCAAATACATAGATCGTACGATACTTCGCTTTCGATATGCATGGCGCAATCCTGTTATTTTATATTCCGTGTCATAGCTTGCACGTATGTGATTTATAACTTTAGAGCTTTATGTACAGAGTTGCGTTAAAATAAAAACACAAAATATACTATAAACAAATGCACGGGTTCATTTTATAACACATTTAAGCCGGAGCTCCACAACTACGCACGGTTGAGCTACACACGTGGGTACAAAAACGTTTTGTATGAAAATGCGGGTACATACTCCCACAATAGTGCACGAGCACGCTGCGCACGAAATGACGTCACACATACACGCGTGGTCTCCTTCGAAGTGCCTGTTGCCTACGTTGCAGGCTAAGCCCCACTGCGATCTGAGATTGCGAGCGGGAGAGACGAGAATCATGCGCCTTGTTTGTATTGCCTCAAGTGCCTGTGCACATTGCGTGGCCCGCAGTGGGTAATGAGGACACACGCAGCCGACCAATGTACTCATGTGGCCACACGTTTTACGTGCGAGTGCTTTTATTGCTGTGAAAATGTCGACACACGCAGCCAGACTTATGGACCCACGTGAGCGACGTGTATAGCGTATCCGTGTGTAGTGTGCGCAGCAATGTGCCTTATACAGCGTGTCGTTACCAACGCGACAATAAATGAACACACATATAGAGCATAAATTTTTAAATTTGTATCAAAAATTTACATTCTTTAAACATCAATTTTTACTGAGTTATTAAATTTTCCAAAATAAAGAATTTTAGAACACCCTTACCTATAAAACTGTAACGTAAAGTTAATTTGTAAAGGTCACAAAGCATATGAATGGGTTGAATGAATTTAAAAGACACAAAACATACTATTAGAAGGAGAGGCTTGTAATGCGACGCCGTGGCAACGAATGAAAAAGTCTCTGAATATATGAATCAGTCAGTTCTAGTTATATTTTTTTAATATTTTTTTATTAGACGTGTGTTCATTTATTGTCGCAATGTCGAACGACACGCTGTATATAGGTATATTTTAGAAGCTAATGATAAATTTTTAAGGAAAATAATAATGATGTGGAATATAATCTTTGAAGCGTAACATTTTTCAATTTTTCTTCTAAAAAAAGTGGTCAGCTAAAATAATAAGCTAAATTGTACACCGAGTCTGAATTTCGTTTTTCGCATCATAGATTTTCATAAATATTTAAAAGCTTGGCACGAAAAATTTCAGTAGGTTCAAAAGGGTATTTATTTTTTCACTTTTTACTAACAACTGGCCTACATAGTAAAATACGAAACGAAAATACTTGCAATTAAAACGAGAATTTCCTATTCTCGATTTTAATCTAACATTAAAAATAATAAATATACAGTTTAAAATATTATAATATTGTAGAATACTATTATTATTGTTATTGTTCAGAATATAAAAATATTTTATAGGTGCTCGGGCAACACACGGAAAAATGCGTATTAGACGTTTTTTGGTGTGACCGGTTAATTATTATGTATGAGCACAATTTTTGTTTTTTTCGAGCAACAAAATCATGTTTTTCTTATGCACTTTGTCCATCAAAATTATTATTAACGGACTATATGATAGTAGCGGTTATAAAAAATATAACAGAACAATTCAAGACTGAAATATTTTTAACTCTTCGTTCACCTCACTTAGACATTATCAATAAAAACAAGTATAGTACATAAATTAGGAGGATATCCAAGAGTGCTCGAACAATCCTTTGTCCTGTTCTAATTTATTCTGTTCAATGTAATAGGGTACATATTAATAAAAAATATCAGGTAAATTTCTACACAAAATTTATATGCATTCTTTTTAAATACTGTTTGAATGGTCGAGAAACCTTTTCTTACTCAGTTTCAATAAATATTGGTCCATTTTATTAAATATGTATTGATGGAAAAGTGCATTAGCAAACATCTGTTCATCAGATTAGTAAAGTAAAATTCCATGTAGTGCCTAATTCTTTTAATCTATTGGATGACCTTGAATTAAAATGAATGATATTCTTTATCTGATATTTCTTTAACTAGTAAAAAAAACCTTTACAAATATAATTCCTCTTGCAAGTCACATTATTCATCACTTATAATATTGGAAGAAGGAGGCCATTGTTTCGCTACCAGAATACTAAGCTTAAAAGATATCATAAATAGTAAAAGTTACTACTAATATCGAGCATTTGATTTCTCCAATAATAACATTGTTATATTTGTATATAGTGTATTAAAATCCTAAGGGGCAGGAAGACCCAAAGTTTTTCTGACAAGTCGCTGCGCAATATTGTTGAATTGTTCTCTGTCTTCTCTCCACATTTTAGCTGCATCCACATTTGCACCGCTCTCATCATTTGGCTCTGAAATAAAATTCATTCATATAGGCTTTTCGTTTTCGATTTTTTTTTCAAATTTCAGAAATAATAAGTGAGAGACTTGGGAGTTGGATGAAAAGTTAAGCCACTGAGCCAAACCTTTTATTTTTAAATAAGTAAGAAACGTGTTTAAAGTGCTTACGACTAAGTACACCGTTCATAACTAATCCGGCTTAATTTATGATGCTTTCACTTCTAATTAAGATTCAAACGTTTTATTTTTGGCTTTTTTTAAAGATAATGGTACGGAACCCTGCGTGCGCGAGTCCGACTCACACTTGCCCTGTTTTAACAATAAAGCCCGTGGAGACCATATTAATTTTTATATTGACACCAAAAGGACATTGTTACAGTTGAGAAATTGGTGCCCCAGACGGATTGCTAAAGGAATGCATTAGGCTTTCATCGTCAAATAATGTGCCCAAGTTATTTGATGGTAAAGCGTGAATAACTCGATTCTTTAGATCAGGGGTGAGCAACCTTTTTAATCAATGAGCCAATTTAAATTTAAATTTTTTTTGGCGGGCTGCACATAATAATTTACTAAACTTTACTTATAATAAATATTAGAATAAAAAAATATGAAATTAAAAAAATGTAAAGATTTCATATACAAATTTTAATGCAAGATAAAAACAAACAAGAAAAGAACAGAAAAATGAACAAAAAATATTTCGATTCAGTATATACTACCATTTTATTATAGTTAATATTATAACAATATATTGATGGGAGAAATTCGATAAAATAAATTCAATTTTAGAAACTTGGCGTGCCGCATAAACATGTTTAAGAGGCCGCAAGCGGCCCGCGGGCCGCGTGTTGCTCATCCTTGCTTTAGATGAAACCCCTACTACATGAGTATTAATAACAATGATATAAACTAATAATAAAAAAAGAAATCTCTAAGAAAGATACAAATCTATTATTAATTATTCACACTAATAATTTCGAATAATTCCCAGAAGAGAAATCTGACAGTAGTTACTTGGGTCCTCCTTTGGTCCCCTTTTGTGTTATTGCTGCAGTTAATCTTATCTCTCCACTCTCGATCATATTAAATTAAATATGATACAGAATGTTTTGCTTAGCACAAATCTCGAGAACAGCTGAACCAATTTCGCTAATTCTTTTTTTTTTATAGTGTTCCTTAAATTACAAGGATGGTTCTTACAGAGAGAAAAATTTAAAAAATTGCCTGAAAAAGTATAAAACAACACTTTTCTATATTCCCGTACAAGAAATTCGTAATAATACTTTAAAGTCAATTTGAACTTTAATACCATACCATGAAGTTTAAGTGTTAATGGAAGGGTTCCGGGAAGGCAAATCAATTCAGTGGCTGTGGTAAAATGTCACTTGAAATGTAAACGTCTTTTTGCTGTGCAGTGATGCATACATAGTATAAATACATAGTATAAAAACAAAGTCGTCCCGCTGTCTGTCTGTCCCTATGTATGGTTAGATCTTTAAAACTGCGACGGATCTTGATGCGGTTTTTTTTACGAGATAGAGTGATTCAAGAGGAAGGTTCATATATATATAATACATTGCACCCGTGTGAAGTCGGGTCGGGTCGCTAGTTATATATGAAAATAATATACTACTTACTCTGGGTAGTGACATAGTCATAGTAGTGCTTCCTAACAAGTTACCCAAATTTTTGGCTAACATATGAATTTCAATTTAGACTAAATATAATATAGGTAAGGTAGTCCGATTTACATAAACGAATGACATACTGAGTAAATTAAATTACCTGCTAACATGCTGACGACTGAAAGGAGAATTTTTTCTACACTTTGCACAGGTGACCATCTCTCTGCACTGCTTTCATAGCCCATTGGGTCATCTCCGGGTGCATGTAAAATGGATATGCAGACTCTCCCATCAGAATAAACTGAAAGAGAAAATAAAAGTATATGTGTACACAAAAGCTAAAAACTTCATAGTATTAGCATGGCAAGCAATAACAACTTTCTGACATTTACCTATATTTCCTAGCTATTTAATTAAGCCATTATCAATCACATTTAATGTCTTTTTCACATATGAAAAGCACCTACTGGCAATGGGAATAAAATTTTTAGTTATTTTTCTTTTGTTTCAAATTAAAAACTATAACATCTTACATGATTAAATAAGTACACAGACTTTGTTGAAGTTATACTTCTTGTGCGCGTTTGGAAATTATCAATTTTATAATAAATCAATTCATTATAAAATTTTAAAAAAATTTATTTTAATTGAAAGTGATTATTATACCCATTAAACCAAGCCCAAAAACAAAGTATCTGATTGTTAATGTAACATATAATTGAAATGACTTACTGTTTGGATGAAACATTTCACAAATAAATTGCATTTTTGGGGGACTCAATGGATAGTCTGGTGGAAACACCAACTTTGCAGGGAAAATGCCACCCTCAAAACAAGTTCCTTCTGGCCCACTGAAAGCAAAGAAGTAAAATATATCAATATAACAGAATTTATTTGCTCTAACATAGAACATACAATTTTGGAAATCTGGAGCCTAAATATTTTTCCAACCAATCATACCTTCAAAATTATAGATTATAAGTACATGAATTTAAAAACACTTATTGCCTTTCTTTCTTCTTACCTTATATAACAATACATCTTAATTGATTTTGTGAATCACCTATTTTGTGAATTTAATAAGTCATTATTTTTTATTGGCCAAGATGTCATGCCACTGAGTGGTGGCATGACATCTTGGCCAATCTCAATTTGCAATAACAATTTATTGTCTCTTTGTTCTTATCATGTGGGTAGGCAGAATGTTTACATTCATTCTAAAAGACTAGTTAAGAATGTTGGAGTGTTTTTTGGCGTGGAACCGTGTCAGCCAAGTCAATGTTTTATATTATCTTAATAAATTATTATATTATCTTAAATAAGCTTTCAAAGCTTTTTTGATTTTATTGTGATAACTGAACATCTAAAGAGGCCTTGGAATTCTTAAAAATGCTTAAAAATGTCAGATAGCAAAAAACTGGTATTAACCGAAGAAGGGTTGACCAACATCCCATTCTTTCAATCTCAAAGACTGTGTCAAGAGGCTGATCACTATAATCGTAAAACAGGTACCTAGTGGGGGTGTACGTTGCACATGAGCTCGTGAAGATCGCTTTAGGGTCTTTGAAATTTTGAGAAATTGTGTCCTTACTGCCCCCTTGAGATCCATCAGCGGCATCAATACCCAGGGGCGTGAATGTTAGTGAGCATACTGTGAGAAGACGTATGGAATATTGTTTTTTTTTCTTTTGGCGGTTTTATTGGATATGACCAATTCATTTAATGCTCGTCCATACATCGCCAATATCGGGAATGAATAACATCAAGAGGTTAATATTAAAAAATTAGTGACCATCTCACAACCCGAACTTAAATCCCATAGAACACATTTGGGACAAACGCAAGAGAATGATTAAGTCTGCATCGAAACCCCACAAACCTTTGACCAGCTGCTTCGAAGTACTGCAAATGTTGACAGTCAGTCGACAGTCAGCTGGCTAGACAATATCAAACACGGGATCCAAAGCATTCCAGACCGCATGCAGGCGGTTACAAGGGCTAGACGAGGAAACACCCATTATGAAAAGTACAGGGAGTCAACAAAATCATACAAATTTTAATTTCAAGTATCTAAAACTCATCTCAAATTTTGTTCATCTATGTCAAAAATCCTTATTGAATAAGAAACGTTGGTTGTCTTGAGTTCAGAATTGTCTATATTTCATTGTGAAATTAAAGAAAAAACGCAAGTAATCACAAATTTTATATATGTCCATGTTACCATGCCGGTGAGAAAGTATCAGATGTGTACTTGAATTTTAAATAAAAATATGATTTATTTAGTTCCATGACTTACGTTATTAGAGCTTCCCATTCAAAAAAGTTTTCTTCATTTACTGGACCTGCCATAATTCCTTCTGGAGGATTGAGTGTTAGTTCTAAAAATGAAGCAATGGTATTAGTTAAAATATGTAGAAAAAGTGCGAAAAGCTTGTCGAAAATTGTCGATTGTAGAAAAAGTGTGAAGATTTTTTCTACATATTTTAATGTTCAATCTTAAGTGCAAAGATTAGCACTATAAACAATTTAAATTTCTAAAAAAGCAATGGCGACATCTCTCGTTCGAGTTATCGTTGTAAAACGATATTCGAAATTGTTTGTATGCTGGAAAGGATATAACAATAGATGGCGCCAAGCATTGCTTCAAATGCTAATAAAACAATGTGGAAGAATGTGTTAAGATTTTCGTCGGTGTGGCAATCAGCCGTTTAGCTCAGTGGCTAGAGCGTCAGGCTGCGAATGCCGAAGACGTGGGTTCGATTCCCACAACGGCGACAATCTTTTCGCACTTTTTCTACATATTTTAATGTTAAATCTTAAGTGCAAAGATTAGCACTATAAACAATTTAAATGGTATTAGTTTTCGCTTGCTACTTACAAATTATCTTAATATAGTTAACTAGCTGCTGCCTGCGACTATGTCTGCATAGAATAGGCTGAAGGCGTAACATTCAGACAGAAAGACAGATATACATAAAATATGTATATAAATTATAGCCTATGTGTTATTCTGATGTATAAGCTATATTATTGTAGTTTCATTAGAATCCATTCGGTATACCTATAAACTTTCGCGTTTATAACCTTAGTAAGGAAGTAAGGATTATCACTAGGTATATAATCTAAAATATGGTTGCTAATAATTATTATTTTTTTTATTCTTTAAATGAACTTAAGTATTTGTAAGGGTTAATTGAGGCTTCATGTCTTTTGGCATTTTCTCTCAGTCAAACCCGTATGCATGGAGATAAATTGTGGCAGGTGCAATAATTACATAAAATTATTTATATGTTTTGATAATATTTTAACAAGTCTGGCACAATGCTAACAACTTAGCATTTGAATGAGTCCCTGCTGCTTTATGTATGTCATCAGGCAAAGAGTTTCACAAGTAAAAGCTTAATTTTGAAAGGGAGAAAATTCTTTGGACGATAAATAGTTGGCAAGGTTACTACAATGTACTCCCCATTATATAATGTTATGGAGTTCATCAAAATGAGAACTTATATTTGAAATGATGGATGGACTGGGATGGGGAATGTAAATATAAAAAAATTAAATGTTGTTAAATAATATGGAACTCTGGGGAATGAGAAGGAATATGGAGCTTTGTAAAGGGAACTTGTCTCTTAATAAATAAAGCACAACCAGCCCATCCATTATCGCTATCATACTACAAGCATGAGTATACTGGGATCCTAAAATTGGATCTAGGCCTAAGCCAAGTCTCTGCTATAGCGCAAACTACGGTATATATTTATTGCATAAAAATATTAAATCATACTTTTTATGATTAACGTTCCTACAGTTCCTCTGCAGGATATTGAATGCCAGGGTTTTTTTTAATTACAATTCCTGAGAGCTTTTCTAATAAGGGCAGGATATTGTTTTTAGTGAATCACAAAATTTTGATACTATATTAATCAGAGAACATGTAAGTAACTCAATCAAATTATTGTTTTTAGTAGCATGTGCCAGCCAAAAGCACTGCCATTAGGTTGGGAGGATTTTGCAGTTCTAACAATCTCTCTTTGAACATGTTTATTATAAGATTGACTGAGAGAAGATCTAGGATGAGGATACTACACAAGAGTTTTACTACAGACACCAGATGAGGACGAGTTAGAAGTTGCAGAACGTTCATAGGTCAAGGTTTATTGTGGAGACCAAGGAAGGACCTAATTGTTTTTAGGAGATGAGCAGAGAACATCTGCAAATAATTAAATGAAAAGATGCTTCAGAGTAACTCATATGTAAGCCAAAAGTTAACATTATAAAGTTACAGTTATTATGTTGGGGATATTTATTTGTTTTCTCGTCTGGTTGGTTTATAGATAAAAATTAAACTATTAAATTATTATTATTATTATAAAGTAACAAGTTTATAACAACAGCGACAAAGAAATTAATAATAATTTAGCTGTCATAGCTCTACTACACAACAGAACCTATGTTATCCTCTTCAACTTACAAGAAAGGAAAAGGTAATTGTTTACAATATTATGCACTTTTTGTCAGGCTTCCAAAACATTTTAATTGATACAGAAATTTCACGCAAGAAATAATACATAACTTAAAATAGATGCACTATTAGATTTCGAGAAAAAAATTAGAAGACCCATTAAGAAAAAATTATTAATTTTTGTCCCACTTTCTATATTTAACATGTGGGCAATACTGTGTGTTTAATACAATACTGTAAGTTATCAAGTTTTCTTTAGTACGATTACTCTTAATTCAATAAGCCACGAAACAGCCTGATTTCCCCTAGGTGCCGGTGGCTTTTTCATTTTCACTTTTATGTATTGATAAGGTTGATCACCTCATCACATTACCACTAATAGCAGTCTTATATTTATTATCATTAAAGCTTCTTATGTAAGAAATACTCACGCTTGTATTCAGCCATTAGACGCCGTAACGCTGAGCCTGCCATGATTATGAAGTTCAATATATCACAGTTAATTTATTATTACTACAAAAGAGAAAAAAATCCTGTTCCTCAAAGAGGTACTTCGTCAAAATTAATTCGACAGCAGACTTACTATTCGACACTCGACAAAACACGACCAGGGGCGGAAACTAGCGATGCGCGACTCGAGTTAATTGATTCGAGTAACTCGAATCAAACCTTAAACGAGTCAACTCGAGTTCATCATCATCATCATTTCAGCCTGTTTGAGTCCACTGCTGAACATAGGCCTCCCCCATAGACTGCCACGAAGTACGATCCTAAGCCACCTGCATCCATCGACTTCCCGCACATTTGCACAGGTCGTCACTCCATCTAGTAGGGGGTCGTCCTACACTGCGCTGGCCAGTACGAGGCTGCCACTCGAGAACCTTTCTTCCCCAACGGTTATCGGTTCTACGAGCTATATGGCCGGCCCATTGCCACTTCAGCTTGCTAATCCTCTGAGCTATGTCGGTTACCTTGGTTCTACTGCGGATGTCTTCGTTACGAACTCTATCACGCAGAGAAATACCGAGCATAGGCCGCTCCATAGCTCACTGAGCGACTTTGAGCTTCCTCATACGGCCAGCAGTGAAGGACCACGTCTCGGTTCCGTAGGTCACCACTGGCAACACACATTGATTGAAGACTTTAGTCTTCAAACATTGAGGTATATATAACTCGAGTTCAGTTTTAAGCAACTCGGTCGTCCGAACGCAAACCGGACGTTATACGCGAGGGCCTCACGAGTTGTTCTGAGTTACACAGGCAGCTCACGCGCGCGGTTCCTTAGGCACACTGTCCACGGAGGCGTAGCTTTAGGCATGAGATGTACCTGCAACATTCAATACCCGGCCTCAAAGGTACGGGTATCACCGTATACCCGGTGCTAAAACCCAGTATCAAAATACCTATAGGTATTAGTTATGTTCAAGCCTCCTTTTGGAGACCCGGTATGGAATTGAACCTTTCTTTGGTTGGAATTGGAACATTTTGATGTTTTTTAGCAATCAGTTTTTTTTTTATTGAGATTTAATCAGTCTAAAATAAGCTCCATCTTTACTAACGTAAAGAACCAAATCAAATATAATCAAATATAATCAAATATAAACCAAACCAATATCAAAAAAAGTAATTCAAAATAAATATTACTGTTTAACCTTATTACGCAATTATTTATTTAACTTATGGTCATAGAAATAAAGAATAAATTTATCTCAAGGAATTATATGGTATAAAATGCCTAAATCATACGTTTCAATTCGGGCATGATCGGGAAGAGCCGCCCTAAGCGTTCGGGGAACTTCGTACCTATTCGGCCGGCGGGTTGTCGCGAGCGTTATATACCGCTACCGTCGGACGAGGCGGCCATACCTATCGGGTATGGAACGGGCCTCTGCCGTACATACCCGGTGTGCGTACTGGTATGTTCATACTAGGTATTTATACCTGTTCCAGTATATACGCCTCATCCCTACGTAGCTTTATAGACGCTTCAAAATACGCCGTGCAGCTTAAGCAGCCCAGCGTACTGATCTCTATCCATGAGGCGTATTGCAAGCGTACATTGTCAATCATTTGTGAGAATGCAGTCGGACGACGAAGACGTTATTTTGGCTTATCGCTACATTCGAAGTCGACGAAAACGACGATTATATTGGACCCATCCATATATAGAAAGAAATATCAACTGTAGATTGTTCATAGCGGCAAGAGAATTATTAGAATTATTAGCCACCTCACTCCAAGCCTTTTCAGTTAAATCTTTTCTAGCATATTCAGCAAGATTATTGTTATACAAACACGGATATTTTTCTATTATCTGAACAAATTTGCCAGCCGTTCCCGCCATTTTTTACAATAAAAAACACGTGCGTTCACTCCATGTACGCCCCCAAAGAGTACTTTTTTGTATATCTGAAATCTGTACGCCTGAATCTGTACGCCCCGGCGTATGACAGCAAGTAGGTACGGCAGGCGTCATGAATCTTGCGTGCAGCGACGCGAGCGCGACGTTGCCGCTCCGTCGACAGAGTTACATTGTTTTGTATGTAAGCTGCAAGCAAGCGTACACCAAGCGTATAATGACGAATACGCGTCTAAGAAGCTACGCCTCCGTGGACAGTGTGCCTTAGGCGTTACAACTCGCATCAACTCGAGTTGAGTGAAATGCAAAGTTACGTTACACGCGCGCGCGCCGTTCGTAAGGTGTTGCATCTTACGGAAACTCTTATTCCTGTACGAAGTAGGGAAAGGGATACCGAAAAAATATCGATATATCGATATTTTTTTAAAAATATATCGATATATCGATTTTTTTTTAAATATATCGATACTTTGGCTGATATATTTTGATCCAATATAACGATAAAAAAATTTAATGTATGCATGTTTTTAGTATATTTATGAAATATGTTTGTTGTTATTTTATCTTTTCAAAATAGAATTTTGGATTTTGTTTTGCACTTCCGTCAAATTTTTTACTACTCCCAGGGTTGACTGGAAGAGAATGCTTACTAGCATTAAGTTCGCCTTTTGTTTGGCCTTATTTTGGGGTGTAAACAATATATTTTTAAATAAATGAAAATAAATAAATAAATATCGAAATCTAATCAAAGACGTTAGCCCAACCGCAGCCTGCCAAACAACAGGCGCCGAGGCGGCAGGTGCAGTCAACACTACCGGTAATCTCTGGAAACAATAACGATCCGTTCACCCAAATAGCGAACATCTACGGTTTATTAGACCGCATAAACAGACAAAAGCTCGCCGTATTGTCCGCAAAAATATCGGCCCCGAGCGCCTCAACACCATTAGAGAACATAAAACGTTTGTAGACGCCCTCTGGGTGTTTACAAGCCAACCATAAAACTCTATAGTCCGCGCGATAAGACAGCGCTCTTCCGCGTCGTTAGTTAGAAATCATAAAAAACTGTTATGGAAAGTACAACCGAAGGTAGATCAAAACCTCGGGCTCTGGTTGTTTCGTATTTCAACGCAAATGGCATTAAGGGTCAAAGGGACGAAATCTCGGAATTCCTCCGCGATTATAATGTAGATATTTTTCTAATGCAAGAGACATTCTTAAAACCTAGCGTACGCGATCCCAGAATCGCACGATCGGTTAGCAAACCGTCCGGGATGCACTCTAATTTATTATAAACGGTCCTTGCACTGCAGCCCACTCGACATTCCAGAGCTAAGTCATATAGAGGCATCCGCGTGTAGGTTAGCGCTCACCGGCCATAGGCCGCTTGTACTAGTCTCAGCCTACCTCTCGGGGAACAAAACCTTATTACAAAGCGACCTAGAAACGCTACTTAACTTAGGCCCTTCTGTGATAATTGCAGAAGATCTAAACTGCAAACACGGCTCACGGGACATCCACAGTATCCCAAATAACAACGTAAAAGATCTCTTTAGCTTATCCGATAATTTAAAACTTTAACATAGTCGCTCCTGCGACTCCCGCTAGGTATCGTACGGTGGACAATTACCAACACGCGTCACCGAGTATCCTAGACATCATGTTATTCAGGGAGGTCTCGCTCGACATCGAGTCGATAGAGACAATACATGAACTAGATTCAGATCACAGGCCCGTTCAGTGTAAACTGGGCCAGAACGCCAGCACGGTCCCTCCGACAAAATCCGTAGTGGACTGGCATCGTCTTGAGGTCAAACAAGGCCTTGGACCCCCAGGACTTAGTCGACCTACCCGAGACGATAGCTACGTTCGATGACGCAAATCGAGCGATAGCAAGTCTCCGAGAAACCATTACTTCCGCAGTCGCAGACTCGGAACCGACGGTGAAACTGTCCGCCCGACCTAAGACTGCTAGTGAGACAGACAAATGCAGCCAAACGCGCCCTCGATCGATAAGGATCGGAATCGAACCGAAAGCCTAAATATATAAATATAATAATTCGACGCCTTCAGCTAGAAGTCAAAGATCGCATATCGGAACACCGATATACCTCGTGGGACACTCTCCTAGAGGACATCGAGCCATTGCACGCATTAGTAATAAAATTCTTAAAGCTCTCCCTGGGCCGCGTTTACTGGCGACCATCTACAATACTTTACTCTCCAGTTGCTCAAAGACCCGCACGTCAATCTCGCGCTTTACGCGGATGACACAGCGCTGTTTTACACAAATAAAAATCTCAATCAACTCACTACTCGTCTCCAGAGCGCCGCCGACCGCCTCAGCGATTGGTTCCGCAAATGGAGAATAGAAGTAAATCCCAACCGCTCCCCTGGGAGAAAAAGGTCAAATACTTAGGAGTCACTTTCGACTCACGTATGTCATTTACTACGCACATCAATAACGTTCGTAATAGAGCTGCGTTCGTCTCCAGCCGGCTACACAATTAAACTAACGCTAAAAGTAAAATACCCTTAAGGCACAAATTATTATTATATAAAACCTGTGTACGACCTATTATGTCCTACGCATGCATGACCTTCGCCCACACGCACCCCTCTCGCTTGTACAAGTTGCAATTTGACAAAATAAATTCATCCACCGCGCAACCGGTGCGCAGTGGTATCAACGCAACGTCGACCTGCACAGCGATTGCAGACTCCCGACGATTCGCGAATATTTTAAAGACCTGACCAAACGGTTCTTCGTTAGAGCCGAACATCATCCTAACCCTCTGGTGGTAAGCGCAGCAAATTACCAACCTGACACAAACGCGAACAAGCGTCGCCCGCGAAACATCCTCATCGACCCGGTCGAGGAAGGGGACTACTAGATACGTTGGACCCACCGCCGGGGGTCCCGCCGGATAACACTATACCCACAGCTAGTGTAACAACAAACACAATAGTTCACCCTCGCCTCCGAGCACGGCGAGACCAACACAACGTGTACACAAGGTACACCCGCGTTCCAGGGCGGTTCTCACCGCCCCCAGCCACCAATTAGCTAAAACACTGTCGACGGCCATCGGGGTCCGAACCTCGATGGCCCTTA